GAGAGATACAAGTTTTGTTAACACAGGAAACCAAATTTAAGTTGTACATGTCCCTTGTAAAATGATTTTGACTGAGATATACCCATTTCATTAATTAGCAAATATATTACTTCTACAGTAAACACTAAAAAAGGCAGTCCTAATCTTAGTTGAAGTCACATTACAGTTTCTTTCTACTTTCTTCTGAGGTCAGAATATGGATAATATCAATAAACAGCTAAGAAAAAATGAATAGGAATGAGTTATAGCTTCATTAAAAACTGGGATAAGTTTAAAATCAATCAAAGCAATCAAATTATAAACATGAAAATTGTAGAGTGAAAAATAAAATGTTTCTATTCCAGAGAGGGGAAAAAATACTGAACAAACATCAATGAAAATTAGTTTGCACCACTTATTAGACAAAGAAAATCTGAATACCTCTGGCAGCACTTGCTTCGTAGCCATAGGATGTTTTGTTAAAAACATCATGATCTGCTGAAGAGGGGATCACCCTTGAATCAGAAACAGGATGGATTCCTTTAACACGGTCAGCTAAAGTTCTATGCTGGTCATACAATCCCAGCTTCCTTGGGGAGCTAGTCCTCAACACTGGTTCTCCATTCTGTAGCACATGCTCCTCTCGTTGTTGGTCAGCTGGTCGGTGGGTCTCTGAGTTGCTCACATTCTTCATAGGTAGCTCAGTGATTTGTAGTAACGCTTCCTTCTGATTAGTAGCAGAGGTGTCTGGTAAGGAATCAGATTCGGTGCTACACCGACCTTCTAACCTGGATTTCCCAGGAGACATGATTGCACAGGGCCCAGCTCCCACAAGTTCCACAGCTGACTTTGTAACAGTGGCAGGGTTGGGAGCCCGTTGAGAGGTAGAATCACCGTGGTCACAGTTGTCACAGTGGGACGCCATGCTTCCACTTTTAGGAAACACATCTGCCTCAGACATCGAATCTTCAGTCAAGGCCAAAAATTCTGAAGGGGTCTGAGCTGTGGTGAGATCAGCAGAAGGCAAAGGCGACTGTAAAGAGCTTCCTGCCCGATCCGTTGCATCCATAGAGCAAGACGGGGACACTCTTACTAATACAGGCTCCCTCTCTTGGTACCGTGAGATTTCCAGTGAGAATTCAGACTGTTGTACCAATGAAATGGACTGGCTCTGTGGAACTGGCTTAGAAAATTTATAGTGAGATGAAAAGGATTTGGGGAGTAGCTTCCTTGCTGAGTGCTTAACAGAACGACGCGTTTGCTCTTCTGTAAATCCAGAATCATCCCCTTCACTTCTGCCAGAGCTCAGACAATTTATGAAGACATTCTTGTTAGTTGAGGGTTCCTTTTCCCTTTCAAAATCTTCTGTCAAAGATCTTGTTATTTTCTTGTTTCTTGAACTACTAAAACCCGCAGAATGCCCGCCCCTAGTTTTTACATTATCTTCCAAACTCAGTTTCTGCATATTGCTGTGGCTGGGTTGAGCACCATTGGAGATACTAAGGTTCTGGCTGGTAGGTTCCTGCTTGGGTTCACTCCCTTTCTTATGGTGGAAGCTGATGGAAGGGGCACGGAATATGCTCCTGCGCTTTCCCGTACTACCTGAGCTGGAGTTAGTGCTGGAAGGAGAGGAGCTGTGGATGCCAACCGTGGCGCTGGAAGAGGGTGAGGAAGGGAGAGAGTCATGTCTCCTGCTAATACTTCTTCTGAATATTGGCAACCGGGAGACCAGGGTAGACCGTCTGGATCCTGAGTCCCCCATTGGGACCCCAACGCTTGCACTGCGACAGCCAACTCAGCAGCCTGAGAAAAGTTAAAAGAAAAACAGCAAGTCAATAGAATTCAACTATTAATAAGACCTACTAAAGCAAAATACTGCTTTTCAAGACACAGAACAGAATTTGGTTTAGAACAAAAGAATTCAGAACCTATAAGTGGAAGAGTCATTCCCAAAGTACATCAAAACCTTACTATGACACAAGAATTTCAAGATTACCCAAACTACTTAGTCTATTAAAAAGAGTGTTAGGTTAGAAAACACAAGACCTTTATTTACGATCTGTCCCATATTACTGCTCACAATTGTTTCTAAATTTTAGTAAGTTATTTAATCTTAACTTTTGTTTTGTTTTTAGAGACAGGATCTCCCTATGTAACCCTGGCTGGCCTGGAACTTGCTGTATAGATCAGGCTAACCTCAAATTTATATAGATCCATCTGCCTCTCCCTCCTAATTGCTGAGACTAAATGCATGCACCACCACTCCCAGGCAACCTTAACTTTTTGTTTACCAACTAGATGTCCACCACTTCCCCTGTTGGCGACCTCAAAACACAGCCTTGCTTACTTAGTACAATGTGACTCAAAAGGTGATCTACCATGCACAGAAACACAGATCAGACAATGGTAAACCCAGGCACAAACATATGTACTCAAAGAAAAACAAATTGAGGCAAATTCGTATTCATGGTGTCTGATTTAGGAAGTTTATGGATAACCAGGCCACAAGCAAAAGAAACTAAAATCACCCAAGATATAGAGTCGTGTAATGAACTAGTTAAACCTAAGAGGGAACCAAAGTTATAAGTTGATTTTGACAAAAGCTCAGGTCCATTTTTAATACTGAGAGCTACAAGAATGCCTGCTGATCAAGCCAAAAACAAAAGACATTGACGAATCATATTATGTTGATGTACACGGTGATGTGTGGAATTTTCCACTGCAGTATCATATTAGTGTGTGAAGTTTCAGGTTTGGGATCATTTGGAATTTTCGGGTTAGAGATACTCAACACTGTAATCTCTTTCCTCCATACATTCTTTGACCCAGATAGTTACCATTCTGATCTCGCTCTCTCTTGACTATATATTATTGAATAATTTTTCATTATCTTTTAGATTTTCAATAATAATAATTCAGACAAGAAACAAAGAACTAACAATATTGCAGAATTCAAACACCACATCAGATTCTGAACACAATTCCCCAAAGGTGAATTTGTTGTTCAGTAATGACAGTGGCACTATAATAAATGTGCAGTGTTAAAAAGGAAAGTAGGTATCTGAAAACACAGGGTATTCCTTAATAAAGAAGAGTTATACTGTGTTTGTAATATCCAGCATTAGAGAATTTGGCTAGATTTGAAAGTAGCTATCACTTAAAGGAAATTCTAACCGTTCAAGGTTAAGTTTCTTAGAAACAGAATCTAAATAAGAATTCTTGTCCAAGCAATTCATTGAAGCAATGCTCTTAGGACAAAGAAAAAAACCAAGAACATAAGTTGTGGAAGGACCTAAAGGGCAGGTAAGCAAAGCCGTCATGAGCACTGGAGATTAGTTTTAGAACAATCCCTTGGGGAAGCTCCAGCACTGACTGATACCCTGAGAGGGGCAGTGAGCTTTGGAGTCCTCAAGCGAGTCAGTTACATGTAGACTTCAACCCCAGCTGGCCTCCATCTCACAGCCATCTACCTGCCTCTGCCTCCCTACCAAGTGCTAGGATTAAAGGTGTGTACCACCATGCCCAACCCTACAGAAGAGACTTCTAAATGATATACTTATTCCACAGAATAGCATACAAAAACTAGGGGTACAATGTGAAAAATATGAAAATGGGAAAAAAAATGTCAAGACATTTAGTCAGATAATTGCTAAATGATACTCTAAGGACATTTTATGTCCATTTTATGTATTATGAAATAATGTGCATAAAATAACAAATGTTCTGCACATTCATGTGTGCATTAAAACATGTGACAAAATCCTGGCAGTTGTGCTTCGGGCCTCTGCACTGGCCATGCTTCCAGGGCCCTTCCCTTCAGATGTCATCAAGGGGGACATTAGTTCTGCATGTTATAAGATGTTTAGTAGTGGAAATGCATTCTGGAATTACTTTTACATTAAGAGAATATAAAAAATGTAGCCTACCAAAATATTACATGGCGGAAGGATATACACATATGTATGCAAAATGAATTAAAAATCATACCACACTGGGATTCACAAAAATCGGCACCAGTGATTGTGTCTAGAAGGAACAGGAAGGATGGGAATGTGGGGAAAGCTTGACCAAGAAAGGCAAAATTCAATCAATTCCTAGTGTTTTACAATTTAATTCAATTTGTACTATTTTGTCATAAAATATTTTAGGAAATAAAACAGAGAAATGCTAGGAATTTAAAAACAATACATTATCTTTTCTAATTTGGTTTTGTCATGAAATTTTATATTGTAGTGATTTTTAGTCCAAAGTGAAATGGTTAATGTTAAGATTTACTTTCCCGATAGTTAAAATCTACTTAGTTTCCATGCTGCAAACTATTTCCTTCCCTTTTTGTTATATGCTACTTCGTCTAAAATATTTTCAGTGATAGGCAAGACAAAAATGAATGACCCAGGGTTTTACCAGCTTAGGGGGTTTAATATTTCCAAATTTCAAACATTACTAAACATAGGGCTGGAGGGATGGCTTAGCTGCTAAGAGCACTGGCTGCTCTTGGAGAGGACCCAGGTTCTGTTCCTAGCAACCAAATGGCAGCTCACAACCGACTGTAACTCCAGTTCCAGGGGATCTGACACCCTCTTCTGATTTCCATAGCTATTGCACAACATGGGTGCACTTACATACATGCATACATACTCACATATACACATATAAAATAAAAATAAAAAATAAAACATTTTTTTAAAAAAAACAAACGTTACCAAATAATAGATTATGTGATACAAGCCACTTATTAAATGGAGTAAATTAAATTGGAGGTCAGTTCGAAGTAGGTAGCCCTATGATCTTTTCTTACTAAAATAAGTTAGGAGAGGACTGAGTTGAAGATGATTAAAATATATCATATGAAATTCTCAAAGAATTAATGAAAACATTATTGAAAATATAAGGTGGGTCACCTAGATAATTCAGTAGGTAAAGGCACTTGACATTGAATCCTGACAACTTAGCTCAATCCTCAGGAGCTATATAAAGGTGAAAGGAAAGAAATAACTCCATAAAGTTGCCCTTTGACCTCCATATACATCATGGTGCATGCGCACCCCACCAACACCACACACACACACACACACACACACACACACACACACACAATATTAAAATAAATCTTAAAAATAACTTATTGCTATTAACTGTTCCTTTAAAAGCTAATAAGGTAATTAGATACCAGCCAGAAATACACACCCAAAGTTCACGTTCTTCATAATCATTTCTGAATATTATTCACTGAATATTAAAATGACTGCTGACTGCATTTGCCTTAAAGATTTTGTTTACTGAGAACCAAGTTTAGAAAAAAATGCCTGCAGTTGCATACATGCACCAGCAGAGGGTGCAAAAGTCTTTTGCTAGAGAAGTCAAATTTTCTATTAATGTTCAAAACCCACCTAAAGATTTAATGAACATTTAATTATAAAAATATCATAAAGGGGCTGGAGAGATGGCTCAGCAGTTAAGAACACTGGTTGTTCTTGCAGAAGACCCGGATTTGAATCCCAGCACCCACATGGCAGCTAACTGTAACTCCAGCTCCAGGGGATCCAACAGCCTCTTCTGACCTCCGCAGGCATTAATGTTCAAAACCCACCTAAAGATTTAATGAACATTTAATTATAAAAATATCATAAAGGGGCTGGAGAGATGGCTCAGCAGTTAAGAACACTGGTTGTTCTTGCAGAAGACCCGGATTTGAATCCCAGCACCCACATGGCAGCTAACTGTAACTCCAGCTCCAGGGGATCCAACAGCCTCTTCTGACCTCCGCAGGCATTGCACGAGATATATTTTTAAATATCATAAAACTCAGAAGTGAAAATGATTATATAAAAATACATTTTATATAAATCTTTGCTTTTTAAAAATTATTAGTATCTGATAATTAAATGTCCTTTTAATTAAAGGAAATGTCTAATGTTTAACTAGAAAGTTGGATAGAGTTAAAATGCTAAATAAGTTTTTTTAAGTTTTTTTTTAAACAATTGTTATATTTTATTTTTATTTTGTGTGTATGATGACTGTTTTGTCTGCATGTATGGCACCATGTGTAGCTGCCATATGAGTACTGGGAACTGAATTTGGGGCCTCTGAAAGAACCAATGCTCTTAACAGCTAAGCCATCTCTCCAGACCATATTTTTTTTTAAGTTTTTAACCTATGAACATGTATAGGACCTATGCTGGGCATCGTATTTTGCAACTGTAATTCCAGCATTTGGGAGACTGAACAGTATTGCTGTGAGTTCGAGTCCAGTCTGGGATACAGAGTAGGACACTGTCTCAAACAACTAAAAATACAATTAAGATGTGTAGGATTATTCTGTGGAAAATAATTCTAAAATTTAAATTAAAATATGCTGCTGAGTATTCTAGAAAAAGGTAGCTGCACTGAGCATTTACAACCTTGTGTGTGTAGATGGTTCATAATACAGACACCCGTGAGACACACAGGCAAAGACAATAATGGAGAATTCATGATTCTCAGTGTCCAGTCAAGTGAAAACACAAATGTTAGGTCAATCATACTGAACGTGAGCACTGTTATGGTGAAAGAAAAAGTGAAATTTGTAAGGTGCCAATCACTGCAGCCTCGCTCTGGCTGTAAATACTGTTTATCTGCTTCACAGTGCTGAGTGGTTACTGCTAATGAGAATATTAATTTCCATTCAGTCATGTCTTGACACAGAGCGCTAATTCTGTCAGAAATCATTTCAGAAGCAGAATTTCAGAGTATTTAAATGTGTTTCTACTCAGTATATGACCATTACATTCTCAATGACATTGTTTCCCAGTGTATCTGTGGAA